TATTTTGCAATTTTTGCAGAAAGACCATAGATCGTTAACCACAAATATTCTTGGTTTTCGTGTTGCGTACAGCATTATAATTCGTCTCATCTTAAAATCGTGAGCAAAATGTTAACCTGCTATATAATCGTTCTATCATACGTTATATTGCTTGCCTACATTAGAACAGGTTTTTCAAGTCAGTACATGACTTCCGGGTGTGCATTTGTGTATTGCAGAACTTAAAAAGTAGATACCCTTCACGAATTTTTTTACAAAAAAAAAAGAAAAGAAAAAACTAAATATCAACATTTTTTGCAATACACTTATTAACATTTCCAGTATCGAATTCTATTTTCGGTTATAGAAAAAGTTAATTTGTAGTATCATTTCATGTTGAAAAACGACAGACAAAACTGTAACGAAAGTATTCTTATTAAAAAGGTCAAACAGATAGTTTTAAAGGTTATGAAATTCAGTGAAGATTAAGCCTGAATCCATTGAAGAACGTTGAAAATAAATAAAATAACCTTCAAAGTTGAGAATTAATTTTTACTTTACATATTCTACCCTTCTGCCCTGAAAAAATATTTTCGTTTTTGAAATTTTTTATTTAGGTTCTACTTTGCCTGAAAACTATCTCGCCGCAGAAAATCAGAGGTTCATGTTAAACGGTTCACTTTTTGCAGAGGTATCGTGTCCGTCACTCAGAAAGAACATGATCTTAAGAAAATCTCGTTTAGTTTCAAATGTCAATTGTTCGTTCGACGCAGTTTTATTCAAGCGCTCGTCAATTTGCCAATTTTTCGAATTTCGTAAAATCCTTTTACTGGCATAATTTTACACGCTTAAAGGATGTGAAAAATGTAAGAAACTATATTTCGACTTATTTTTTTATCTTTTAAATGAGAACCTAACCTATCATTAGCCTGTAAATACTAAACACGCGTAAGTAAACAGATATTAACAAAAAATAAAAATAATAAGAAAAAATTCATTTTTCAATGCAAAGTGCCGCGTGACTGCACAATATTATGCAGGCAGATAATGCAATGTGGAATAATCTGTTGATATTCGTTGGATTGTTCGTGCAAAAGTGTTTTCGAACACGCACTAATCGCTCTCCACGATCACATGTTTTCGATCGCGTGTCACGAACGATTCGTGCATATCATTATCACAAATGTACCTGTGAGCTGAAGAATACGTAAATTGGAAGCAACGAACGTCACTTACATTCGGAACGTGCTTAATGGAAAATGGCTACGTAAAAGAATTGATATATTATCGGAACAATTTATACAATCTTCACGTAAGAAATCATTAATCGTACAAATAATATATCGTATCGCAAAATATGTATTTCGAAAATTCAACGTTTCGTTCTGATAAAAATCAAGTTTGAAAACAGTTCAAATTTAAAACGTGGATTATCACTTTAAACACTGTTATTTATAGAGCATCGAAAATCATCAAAACTTAAGATAACAAATTAATGGAATTGTTTAAGGAATAAAGTATTGTGGAACATGGGGTAAAGAATACTTACTTTGCTTATTACACTCGAACCAATATTCTCGGGAATTTCTAATGCAAAAACAAATAAATTCAAACTGTCACGTTTTCTTGAACAAATGTAAGTGATAAGTCGTAGTTATGATCATATTCACAGTGTATCTACGTAAATAATATCTTCTTCAAGTACAAGTACACTGACGCTGCTTTTGAACTTGACTTCACCGAAGACAAAGTTTTGCATAAAAAAAATTGAATCTGCACTAATGTTACAAAACTTTGCCCTCACTCTGCACTCATGAAATCAACTTAGTGGTCGATAGGTTAGTGTCAAAGTAAACGCAACAATTTGCCTAGAAACCATCCATCACGCACGATACGGGATAAAATGACAAGTTTCACTTGTTCTCTTTTTTGGGAATACCTAATAACACGTTTGATGCAACGAGCGATGAAATTCAGCGCAAAGTAGATTGCACGCACGAAAATCCAGTATGCCACACATGTCGAAATATAGAAAGTAATACCTCGACGAGATTATAATCTAGATTTTCCATTATATTCGTCGTATGATTTTAAACAAAAAAAAAAAACACTTGAACGATTGATCTTGAATGCGATTATTTGTTTGACAAGTGTCGTTGCATTATAACGACTCGTGAGATTGAAGAAGGTAAAGCACATGCGACACGATGAGTAACGAAATCGCATGAGGTATGCAGAGACTTGCACATGGTTGAAAATCGGACTTCAGTAGCGCGCATTTCGAAATATCGAAAGTAGTTTTGCCTTTTTTCGTCGTTCGGTCGGTACACTACTATTTTGCATCAATCATGTTCTTAAACGAGCATCGAAAAAAAAAATAGTAATTGTGTGGTGTAAAACAGTAGTTTGCTATAACATTTAAGTAATCCATGTACAGTTTTATGCGGTATTTTAATTTATAAGTGTACATATAAATTATTTCGAGTGCGATTTAATTATGTTTTCCTTTCATGTAGCAAATAATATGATAATAATATTAATAACAAATTTTTTGAAAGAAAATAGTGATAATAAAAGTGATAGTGATAACGTGTCATTTATGTTTTACATAATACCAAATTGTATGTACAATGAAATTATTAAAATGTATCGGAGAAAAGTAAAAAAAAAAAGGTTAGGTTAGAAAAATATAACAGTGTAAATGAAATATCAAGAGACAAAAATATGAAGGCTGAGTTTTATTATGCTATGAGTTAGATAGGGAATTTTCAAGAAGATGCGATACAATTTTTGCAAGAATTTTTATTGTTAATAATTCCGAAAAGGTATGTAGATTTATTTTTAGATCATATACTTTTTGAAAGCATAGAATGTATCTATGCACAGCGTCACTGATGAACAGATACGTCATTGTCGACGTGATCGACCTTCGATGTAACAGATTAGTTTTTATAGATACATGAATAGCATAATCAACAGCAACTGTTTATGGATCAAGGATATTTCACCAAAATTGATGTATTCGTAACCCTTGAAATATCACTTTCCTACTAAAATCAACCTGTACATTACTTTTTTTTTGCTTCCTGTAAAAAAGAATGAAGAAAAAACTGAATCCTTGGCATATTAACATCCGTTCGAATTGCAAATTAAATCTTTTGGACCGAATATGTTTCTATAAAAAGGATATTGCTTCTTTTATGTAATCATAAAACGTCTTAAAAAATTAATGATTCCAGATTTTGATGTGATATTATATTACAAATATTATTATTATAGTACTTTTTCGATAGCTGTACTTTATATAGATTTAATTTAAAAATATTGTTTCACTTATACAATCATTTTTTAACATCTATTTTCATAAATGGTAATTTTTTCAGAACAAATACGCATAACCTCTGTAATGATTATCGTCATTCGAAAGATAGCAAGTGTCTGAACGAACAGAAATCTCTTCATTCCGATTAAGCACCTCACGAACGAAACGTCTTCAAACGATACAATTAAATTATTACAAAACTGGATATGTAAAGTGTGTACCAATCTAATAGGTGACTACTTCTTTCCAACAACGTGTTACATTCGCACGTTTTCGAATGCTCGTGTTCCATCAGTCGTCAATGCACCGAAAACACTCTAATGGAAATTTAAATATTAACTGCTCACTTAGAAACGTGAATACATTTTTGCTCTTCAGTCGCGTCACGAGGATGTTACACACATTTTGCATCATCGTACCAATATACGAAAATACATTATCGTTTATCTGATTAATTAACCTTCGTTCGCAGACACACTGTACCATGCGTCTCTCAATTACCAACCTGCACAATTTCGTGGAAACCAAACTGTGGCTATTGGTATTCAAAAAAAAAAAAAAACTCACCGTAGAAGGGATTGGTATATTGAACTTGTAATTTTTCGTCTCGCCACGTGTCTGTAGTAGTTTCAATCGTGTGATTCGTCAGGTGGCTGATCAGCTCAACCAGTGTGAAATTCTTCGTGGATGTGGCCTTGTTTCGCGACAGAACTTGAAGGATCTCTTCCTCTTCCAAGCTGTTCAAACCGCTGGATGTCAGCACGTCTACAGATTTTCCAGCGTACGAGAACTTCATCAACAAGAAGATCGTCCATGCTCTGACGAACGTTCCCATTGTTCCAGAAATGAATACGAATGATAAAGAATCGACGAATTCTGTAAGCTATACCGTTGTGTATCCGATTTTGATCAGGAGCAACGATCACAGTAACTTTGCCGGATCATTTAACGTTTGGAGTCTAAACACTCGACATTGATCTCGGAAGCTGTATGAAAAAGTGATTTTTGTATCGATGTTATTCACAGGTGAACTTCACAAGCGGCCTAGAGTACGATGTTCGATAGATTGCGCGCGAATGAGTCTCGTTTCGAAGGAGGAAAAAAAAAGAAGAAGAAGGAAGAATTTGTAAAAGTGCGCTACCGAATGTTTCACGAACTCTGTATTGCTTGATCGTTCGAAAGCGAGCTTTATGAGTGATCGTGAAACGACAGAGTCACCTGTGTTCACGAATAGGGCGGCAGAAGAGGGGTAACTACTCTTCGCTCCTCTTCTCCCACTCTGATTTGTTTTCGAAGGACCTCGCTACTCCATGTCGAATTATTTGGAACAATTTCGTAAACGATAGCTTTGTTACCTTTTGCTCTATGTATAGTTTGAAAATGGTGTGTTTACGTCGGTTATCTACGTAATCTTTGAGCATCATTGTCTCTTAAACTTTCGATTTCTTATGTTAATTAGGCAGAGCTTAACGTTGTTTCGCTTAGTTTAATAGAGTTTTTAATATGCTTGTTCTGTATTGGAAACTGTGTAGTACATCCATTATAGTTATGTCGTATTATATTTGATGTCTTTGTTATAATTTTTGCGAAGTTAATACTAAGGGTCTAGGAAGACTTCGTATAGCATTGATATGCATGGAATATCCCTAATGGCTGCCAAAACAAAGACGAAGGACATCGTTCCTTTTTTTATTTAAATTGATCGACCACAGCAAGACGCTGGAGTAATACAAATTTCCCATCTTTTTACATATTTTAACATTGGTACACTGAACCTTAGTAAGATATTAAGTATACAGTAAGAATTTTAATAAAATTCATTTGAAATTGAAATACGAATATGATTAATTCTTGAAAATTTTTATTTATCAAAGTAATATATGAATTAATACAAGATTGGAAAATTAATAATGAAGTAAATGTAAAAGATATTTATTTATTGATTAATATTGCTTGGAATTAATCCAAAGTTAATTTAATTAAAAATGTCTATCAGTTGTATAGCGTTTTATAGTTAAAGTACAGAAGAGTAAAACATGTTTCATAATATTTCTATTGTGTAAAATAGTAGACAAATGTACTGTGCTGATAAAAGCAAGAGTTCTGCATAGAAATATCTTATACTTTACGGTATAAACTAAACCAGAATTAAATACAGGAATAAAATAAAAATATAAAGTATACAAAATATATTCGAAATAGTAAAATTCTAAAATCTAAAAAATCATAAAAAATTAAATTGTGGTATTCACAAGTTGCTCGATGTTTCCCAGTTATTGAAAAACATCGATTATACAAAAACTCCATTTCAATTTTCCATTTTTTTTTCATCGTTGAAAAAGGAATCTGCGTGCAACAAAAGATTTCTATAGGAATCGAATTTCGACTCTTTTCGATCGTAGGATAAACAAACAATCCGTGATCTATATGATTTTTAACACGTTAAATCGATTTCCCTTTTATTTTTTTTTTTCCTAAATCGTTTTTCCCTTTGGAAAATATCGATTTTACATTCAGATACATTTTCCATTGTAACGAAACCAATTGTAAATCATATGTTTGTCAAGAGTACCTTATCTTCGTCATACAGCTACGAATTGCAATAGAGAGTGGGTCGGGGCCCTCTGCGCGGTGCATTCTTCAGCAATTGTTACAACATATCCTATTCGTACTCTATATGAACTACGTCTTTCATTTTGTGTTTTCGCTAGTTGAAAATTTGATTAAAATCGTACCTACAAAAACGACATTTTAATGTTTAATTAAATAATAATGTTTATCGACAGAGTGTTTCTTTTGTTTCATTTAGCGTTTGAACGAAATAAATCCTTCGAAGAATTATCTTGGAATATTTTATTGTCAAGTTTATCATATCGTGTATCTATAATAGTAACATTGAATTTTAATTAGAGCATAATATGAATATATAACAATAGAAAATTTTCATTGTGTGCAGCAAATGTTTGTAAAATAATAAGGCTGAATTTACGTTTCATTGACAATGAGAAGAAAGTGCATAAGTCATTATTAACGAAAACCATACGGTGCGTCCTTAAACTTGAATTCATTCATCTAGTGAATACAAATAAAAATTCAGGACTTCGATTGAATTTAAACTGCTCTTTTTGTACGTATAAGCATTTCTATGAATCTTAATCAAATATGTATTCACGTCTGCATAGCATTACGTCAATGTCGTTGCTAATGTTCCGCGTTAAAATCATCAGTGAAATATTCACTAAGTACGGAATTGTAACATGAAAAATGTTTTAACTTGCCATTGAAAATTGTAATAAACAATTGTCACGAGGAAGTATAAAATAACATGTTGGTAAATTAAAATTAATAGGTTATGTAAGTACTTACACACTTTGCCACTAAAGTTCTCGAACTAAAAATTATATAGACCATCTATCGTATTATTAAAATTTGTTACATTACACATAGACAGGGTGATTTATTTTAATCTATAAATGCTTATAGTTCGGAAACTACGTTCAATTGGAAAATTTGATTTTGGAATATTAAAGGAGGTGAAGGGGAATTACTAAAACGTGAAAATTTAAATAATTTCTATTTAGACGTAAATTCACTTACAAGGGGAGATTAGCTATCGGAGAATATCGGTTTCGATCATCTTTTGTGGATTGTGAGGGTTTGTTATAAAATGAAAATTTACCAAGCTATTCGTAACAATTAAAAAAAATTGACGTAAAATGACAATTGCTGTAGTCCTGTTAGAGATAGGGTCAGATCATATTTTGGTACATTTTCATTTTATACTATGTAAAAATTTTTACAGATGCATTTGAAAAGCATCAACACATCGATGTTTTTTTCTGTGTCAGTGTATCAATAAGTGTTAACCAAACAAAAGTGACAATAATTCATTATAGATGCAGACAAGGCAACGCTCGTAAAACGACCGGCCTACTCAGTATACTATACCACAATGTTACACACAAGACGTTAGTTATTTTAATTAAAGCTGGCTGCATTGTCGTGCATGTGAATGCTATGTGCGTGTTGTTGAACCCAATACTATTTAAATATTGCACGCTGGATCCATGTGAAATGTGACTTAAAACAAATCGCGTGGTGCATATTCTGAAGAAAGTAATTTCACTTTAATCTTTAAATGGTAGAGTGAAATGTAAGTTATATAAGTAATAAACTGAATAAGTAATAAGTGAATTTGATCTGCATTGACAAAACAAGTGTAGAAGATATTTGGTGAATACATAAATCGAAACATTAATACATTCGAGGTTAAATTAGATTTTTTACTGATTAGTGCATGCAAGTAGAATTGCAGTAGTAACTAGAAAAATGAAATTAGAAACCAAATACGCAGTTTCATAGGAATGTAAAAGATGTATTAAAATAAAAAAGATCGTAATCATTAAAATAAAAATACATTGTAAAGCAATATTTGTTTTAAGAACAAACTGTAATATTTGTTCCATATCAAAGTTTACAGAAACATCGACAGCATAAATCCATAACGTGTTATCGTTAGTTATTTTTATCGAAAATAACCGTGAAACGGTATATTTTTCAGAATTAATCAATTTTATGATTTATCAATTAATTCTAATCAGAAATTGACAAAGTATTCTTTCAACGATATAAAATGGGCATTCAATAGAAAGTATGTATAGATAAAGTATATAAGAACAATGTTAAGAGCGCTACCTTACAGAGCGTCCTTCAACACAGTGTAACCTAAACCTAAACCTAACCTAAGTCAGTTTTAAACTATGCTAAAAGGTCTGGTCAATAGCATGAGAAATTGTACGCGTGTGTACGTGCAAATGTACTTACGTGAGAACGTGAATTTCGGAAGAGAACAGTTAAGAGTGAGCTGCGAAAGAGAATATTTGAAAAAATTGTTCCGCGGAAGCTGTTGTCAAAGTGAAAATTTTGGATGTAACAAACTACCTCTTGCAAGTACGTTTAATTTTTTTTCTTTCTTTAGTTTGTCATATAGAGTATCGTTCTCGTGTGATTAAATTGATCCCTTTATAAACCGATACGAGATTTTCAAGTACCCGCACGCGCTAGTACAAAGAAGAAAAATTCTGACGAAAGCGTCGCTTACGTAATTATTCAATGAAGGAATGACGTTCTTTGTTCCGCATTGTCTACTTTGAAATTTATACAGTTACACAAAGTACGTGACATTTATGAGTAATGAGCCGAATCTTCTAAAAGGCAGCATAAGAGAAGTTCGAAGAAAGTTACGATTCGTCAAAGGAATAATTCATTGATCGCGTTTTTTAGGGAATGAAACTATTTCGTTAATGTTATGAGTAAATAATTTTTCAACTAGAATCCAGTATTTTATAGCTAACCTAAAGTTTCGAGAAATCTCTAGTTTGAATTTTTAACGCAACGAATGCTTTAATTAAAAAAAAAGTAGGGATGTTTTCATCTAACATTAATGTAAAGGTTGTATGAGATACGAATATGTACGAGTATTAAATTCATCAACCTAGATTGCATGAATGATTTCCTCCTAACGAATAACAATCATAATGCAGATTGCATTAGAATTCTGTCATGTGCAACACATTCTGTGTTGTACAATCGATTATATACTTGTAGCAATGCTGAATGTAAATATAATTCGATACAAGAGTATACACATTTCATAAGAATTAAAATGTTAAAAAATTCTTGCAAAAGTATTGTATTACATTTTCTAAAAATTTTTTTAATACGCTACGCGTAATAAAGTTTAGTTAAAAATTTTGATAATATTACGAAAAAGAAATTTTTGTTCACAGACGTTTAATATGTTATATTTTAAGTATTTCAACGAAAATTGCACCTGATATAACAAACGAATAGTGAACGTACAATGTATGGCAAATATTTTTTTCAGAGACGAAATTAATTTTTTTATGTACGCCATACATGGAAATATCATATTCACGTCTATTCTGTTTCAATTAGTCAATATTTGACACATAATATTTGTCAGTAAAAGCGTTTCAATGCTTCGATTTTCCTTCATCTTCACCATTTAATAATTTCACTTGTTAAATGTGTACATTATTTTTTCGATTATAAATAAAAATTTTACTACAAATAGGTAGCACTTTATATAAATATTTCATGTAATACAATATCTACTTTTTAAAAAATTTTTATTAAGTTAAACACTATTAAATTATAAATATTAAACTATAATCACGTTAACATGTAAATTACGATTTAATTAGCAGTTCCCAAAAATTTAGCTGTTATTGATTCTGATAGATGGCACTATCTTCCAACGTTCGTATTGTTTATTTGTCCGACTGAGTACGAAGACTGCCTCTAAAGTAGCGTATTCAAAATGAGTTAGAATCCAGGACAATACCAAATAATATAACTTTACAAGTTTTTGTTTCTATCTGAACCATGATAAACATCATGAGAATATTGATTATTTCTTGAAACAGTGAGCTTGCTTTAACATTACATTCAAGTGAAATTGTCCTGAAAATTCACCCGTTGACAAACACAACTATAAAACAGCAATCAATAAAAATAAAATTGAAAATTTCCAGAAAAAAATATTGCAAATATTATTTTAGACTACAGCTTAAAATAATGTTTTATTATTTTCGAAAAAGTGTATCAACACGAATGTGTCGGTGGGTCTTCAAAATTCAATCGGTCCTTCGGCACTTATCGGCCATATTCGGATCTGGTCGTGTTAGTATCGAAGCGCGCGTCACGCAAAGCACAAAGAAAATCGGTGCACGAGCGCCGTGACCCATTCGTTCCATCGGCGGACCGAAATCAGACGCCGACGGTTAAGAAGTTATGACGCTGTCCTTGTCGTGGTCATCGCTCTCTTTCTCTTTTACGACGAGTTACCGCGATTGGCCGGCAAGTGGTGGACGGATGGTCGTCCTTCGGCTTATTTCGATGACGCGTACGACGTATGCGTAATAGTGTGCACCGAGCAAAAAACATTTGGTAGGTTTGCCGGCTCTGCATCTTGGCCATCGTCTTCTCACCCACAATTGACTCGTCGCTTAGTGCACCGTGCGTTATATCGTACGCTTTCCTCGTGAAACGACTGTGTGCTTTGATTCGCGCAGTATCGATTCGTAGACGGCTGGTTTACAACCGGCATCCACGCTGTGTGGCGCCCACGTTGACAGTGGAGCTCTGACTGCAGACGCGTGTGTTGCTAGCTCGGTGCTCAGCGATACCGAGTTTTGTACACGGAAGACGAAAGCTATCAGTATCTCGATGGTGAGTTTGTGAATCATTATGACGTCACACGCGCGTCATGTCTCATCGTTTCTAGTCGACTACTACTGTTATTTTACTCTTGGCGAATGTGTTCGTCCATGACTGGTGTTCCCGAAATACGTTGATTTTTCCGATTCAGCGTTCTCGATTATTATTTACGACGATTCGTACATTGTTGTGTGCTCTCTTTTCATTCCTGTCAATATTCTATTTTAACCATTTTCCTATTATCATTACTTCTTTATACGTGTTATTTTATACATGTTGCCGCCGGTTGTTGTGTTTACGTGACAACCGTTCTATCATGGATGGTCAGTTTTGGAACGAAGGAGCCTTCGAAAGTGTAGTAGACTGTTAGTTTTAGTGTTTAATGTTTAACATTTGAGAAATCGTACGGTTCAACACTTGTACCCTCTGCAATCGTGACAAATTTACGTCAAAGCACGTGACACTGACGTAAGATACATTTCGTCGTAACTGTGTACGGAAGATACGTAGGAATCGATCATTACCTTTTCAGGGTTGTTGCATAAGTAAAATCGTATAGAAGAAGTAACGTAACTAATGTGATACATCAGCTCATACTGTGCAGTTCTCTCGCTATTAGATAATTGTAAATAGCCTTGATATGACACTTGCAAAAGGATAATTACTGTATTAGTCAAATCACTTCTGTTATAATGGATTATTTTTGTTTACTATTCATAGATTTATTTTTAATAACATACGCGAAAATAATTAATGGAAAAATGTAATTTAAATAATTCATGAGTTACGAATAAAATGAAAAGAGATATAAAAATTTACATTGTTCCTGCATCATTAGCTCAGTTTAATTCAACGTCTGTTCAACAATCCATGTGCTTGAAATAATATCGCTAAAGGAATTAATAAATATTCAAAAATATAAACATGTCATTCCGAACATTTAATAAAATAGCTCTTCACATTTTAATGTAGATTACCTTTTAAAATCATTTTCATTATTTTTTCAATTACGCAACAATTAAGGAAAAGTATATTTCAATTATATACGTATAAAAAAAAAGTATAACACAATAACTATATATAAAAGAAGTAATACTGCTTGTACAAAACACATTAAAATTTTCTAAATCATGTTGAAATAATCATTATACAACAGTAAATTTCAAATTACTGTAATAATTAATATTAAACACACAGCTTCATCATTTTAATAAATTAGCTTGACAATAAAATAGTTATTATTCAAATCTCAATAGGAACCGAATTTTATTACTAAAAATATGTTTCTTAAATAACGTGTAATTTTTAATATTATCACTTTTGTTATAACTCAGCGATACGTATAACTATGTAAAAATTACGTAACTGTGGTAATTATGGCGTCAATTATGCAGCTACTTTTTGCAATCTGAAAATGAAAGCGATAATAAATTACAATTTCTAATTTGTTTAACAGAAAACTTACTCGTAAAATTTTTCGAATTTTAGCATATTCAATACGCAGTTGTTTCAGTCAGCTTTGAAGGAATAGAAAAACGATTAATGCTACTATCGATTTTATAAAACTAAATTTAGTTGTGTAATACATTTATATTTATGGAGTCTGGTGAAGTATATTACGTTTGTGGAGTGTTGACTATACTATATCTAGGGGAGTACGTATTGAACACGTGTTTTACACGATTTACAAGATGCTTAAATAGAAACAGATTACACTTGCGTCTTTAATTCAAGATTTTCTTAATTTTTATGAAAATAATGGAAATTATGTAGTAGATCGAATAAATCGATTATCTTTTACGTTCACAAAACCATCGTTACTTTTCCACGAACCGTTACTTTTTAATCTGACTCTTTCCTAAGTCAATTTTTTACGTACCATGTTTCAGAATTTTTTCAATCAAACTTCGTCGGTCTGTTGTCAGGGTAGAAATTTGAAGTATTATACAAACGTTGGTCGTATGAAACTTTATTAGAAAATTGTCGCACTTCGTACGGCGCAATAAATGTAATTTTCGTAAAATTAATGTAAAAACTTAATAATAGCAATTTTTTCGTATTACACCAATTTTGTGTTAGTAAAAACGGGTAGTATTTTGAAGTGAACTGTTAATAATAATTTTCTTATCTTATATTGGTGTTAAAAAATTTTTTACCAAATTTGTAATTAAGTGTAATTGTACAAATTTTTATTTGAGCTCATAGAATTTATTAATGAAATTTGAGTTGAAAAGTTTAACTTGAATTTTGACTTGAGAAATTAATTTTGAAAAGTTTTTTTATCACATTTAATTCATTTTTATTTATTCTATCAGTAGGAAGTAATCAATTTCTATCCTCGTTAGAATTATTGTTTATCAAAGCTTTGCTTTTTAGGTAGTACAGCCTTCTAAATACACCAACCGTTGTGCCTCTGATTCGAAAAAATGTATACCGCGTGAAGGACCACCTGACACGCTAAAAATAGTAGGAGCACTTTTATCTGTCCTGTTTTTGAACAGAACCTTTGTTTCCAGGGGTTGGCGGAATTCAATTAAAAGAGATAAACGGTTGCCTTGAAATTGTGATTTAAAGTTATTCAACAATTACAGAAATAATTAAGTTAGTCAAGTTCTTAGATTTCAACAAATAGAGATAATTAAGTTTATTTACTTCTAAAAAAAAGAAATCACTGAATATTACTATCACAAATCAATTTAACGTGATTTAAAATTCTACCAAAATGTTTATTAGAAAATTCATCAATACATAATTTTTTTAATTTCTAAAAAAGTATAATTTGAAATTCTAGGAAAATCTCTGTTACGAAAATGTTCGTTAGAATAATCATCAGTATGAAGTTTTTATAATTAAAAAATAAATTTCACCGAATACTGCTATCAGAAATGAATCTAAAAATTAACGACAATGTAATTTAATATTCTACGAAAATGTTTGTTAAAAAAATGCATTAATATGTAATGCTTTTTTCACATTCATTTTTAACGTGTGTTTCTGCTTCGCATAACAGCATCCTTTCTATGTAATGAGCATATGAATTAGTTAAGATTTAATTAGAACAAGTTCCTTTCATCGGTTGAACATAGTGGACGAACATATGTTTCTTTTTTTTCTCTCTTTTTTTTTTTTTTTCAACGCAAGGTTCCAGTGCAAGCTCAGGCGACTCAGAATAGTGTAATCGCGTGGAAAACCATTACGAAAACCGTATCTGTTGGTAGGTAGATCGATAATTGTGAAAGCAAGCTCGTGTCACAGTGTCACGTAATTTGAAGTGCGGAAATGGCACCGTTTATTCTTTTCTTTCTCAACGCGTTTTCTCTATCACGCGAGCTAATTAGTGTAGATACGTATGTTAAGATAAATTGATAACATAGATCTTCATAAAATAGATAAAAATTAATTTTACTTTTTATTAGAAGCCTTGAGTTTCCATAAATAGGTAAAAATTAATTCCAATTTTTTTATGAATCTCGAAATATTCATAAATAGATGAAAATTAATTCTACCTTTTTGTATAAAGCTCGAGTGTTCATAAATAGGTAAAAATTAATTTTACTTTTTGTGTGAAACCTTGAGTTTCTATAAATAGGTGAAACCTAATTTTGCTTCTTTTATGAAACCTTGAGTTTCCATAAATAGGTAAAAATTAATTTTACTTTTTGTACGAAGCTCGAGTTCTCATAAATTTTCGCAATATACAGAAATATATAAAACAAACAAAAAATGGTTGCAGTATGTCTGAATATTAAAGTATATTACTGAACAGTAAAAGTACATTTGTTATCATAAAAAGATGTTTATAAGATATTCTACTTCGTGAAATGCTCGATTATTTTTGTAATCAGTGATTTTTCGTTTATTCTTGTATTGAATTTTCTTTCACATAAGCGTATTGATTTGAAAAGATCTATTTCTTACAATTAGTCACATTAACAACATTAGTAATTTCTTTAAATGTAAAAGTTAGAATAATCTTTTATTTTAATTATATTTGATATGGAAAATATATTGACAGTAATAGATATTTTTGAATGAAAAGTGACCAATTGTTAATAAATTAGCACAGGCAAAGGGAAGATAAAAAATGTAACAGTGAGGAAGTAGTGAGACACATAAATCAGAAAAGAAAGTCAAATATTTAGACACGTGGATCGAGAAAAATATTTCAATGCGATAATAAAATTATCTTATTCTTCATAGTCATTCTTAATTCACGTTTTCTTATCTCTTTTTTCACTTACAGTTCAGAAGAGATATTAAACATTTTTGTTAAAGATAGACATTTTATTTCCACAATTAGTTCTTATTAGAAATTTCATATTTCGTAATATTCTGATTAATTACAGATTAATTAAATACATGAAACTTTAATATATTTCAGAATGTACTTAAAATGTACTTTACTAAAATTTCAAATGTCAGAAAAAGGGAAAATATTATATTTTTATTTAATCTTAAATTCGAATATATGAAGTGGAGTACCAAATTATCACACATTATACTCAATTCTCGTTTATAAATTCTCCATTTCACTTTATCCTATTAAGCAGTGTATCGAAGAATGCTTGACCCATATTTGATTGTATCCATGCTTGGATGCTCAATCGTTTCAAGATCATTTAACAATGAAAATCATCTTTTACACGTTGATATTTTATTAAACATTTATAATTTCATAAATACTTCTTTCTTAGATAGCAATTTATAATTATTTAATTGGTAATTATTACGACTTGGAACATACTCTCCACTTAATTAAATTTTCCTTCTATTTTCTTCCTTTCACAAAAAGTCGATCAACATTTACTCCGTTCAAACTAAATTCCAATAAAAAAACATTTGTCAATGTATCTAAATATTTTTTTTAATTTACCGCCGAAAGTATGATTTAAATTCATATTTTTCAAGCCTACGAAAAATACGTTTCTGAGAATAATACGACTGATAAATCAGTGAATAAATAGTAAAGGCTGATTTATTTTCTTGTTAAGATATTGTTCTCATTTTTGCCATAACTGTCGTTCCAGTTACATCTTTAATTATCCACAGGCATTCACGATGAATATTATCATAATTCTTATACGTCACTCGCTAATAATAAAAAAATAAGAGTAACACAGAAAGAATATTATTTTATTTGCAGGTATTTAAAAAATGTTCATTTTATAAGATACTGCGCCAGTGTAACTCAAACGAAGATTCGCAAATTTCATTTCATTATCGCTTATTTCTTTTCTTTAATATAAGTTGTTCTGTTATCATGAACATCGATTTGTAATACGAAAAATACCTGATTAGGTGAAGCTGCGCAATGTGTCAGTGGTTGGGAGAAATTACCATGCCGTTTTCAGCTCTTCGATGTCGAAAGGATACCGAAGAAAACGTCTCGTACAGAAAGGTACATTTCGTTTAAAGTGTTCGTGCTAAAATTCCGTTTAACCATGTGCTGCCTGATTTACACTAACAAACAGTACTAACATTTCTCTTAATCTCGACACTACATTGTCACTGAATCTGTGAAAATAATCCGTTTCGTTTAAACTCGTTTAATTCCAAACAATTTTCATTTATTTCATATTTGTTCATAGAAGTGTTATTAAAAATCGATAAATTTTTGCTGTTACAATGGAAACGAGATAGGTGAAAACTTGTTTGTGTACGGTTTCACATAAAAAAGTTCGTTCTGGTTTTGTTCAAGAAATTCTATTGTTTAATGAAAAGAAGGGGAAAAAAGTGAATCGAATTGTGCGCACAAACAAAAGAAGAAAAAAAAAAAAGAAGTGGGAACGAACGGAGAAAACGAATGAGCAAACGTAAGAACGCTGTTATCTATTGTTTCGTTTGACATTCTGAAAGGAAATCCTGTTAAATATCCTCGGCAATTGCTTCATCGTCCTCGGGAAACTTTTCTCCTTTGAGCTGCAAATTTGATTAAAGTCAGATTAAATGCAGCAGCAATAAAGGGAATAAGATTTCTCATCTTAATTTAATCTGTTCTAGTGTGATTGATATTTTTGTCACGATATCGCTCGATACGTCTATTATATGCAATAGATAAGGGCATATCCTTCGATTACAATACGAAAATTAAGTAAAAATACTTTGCGTACAAATAAGATAGGTTTTCTTACTGAATAATGATTCAAATTAAAAATTAACTTTATACAAATTTCAAATTAACTTACGTGCAATATTTCAAAACTTCAGTTAACTACATATTTGTATCAATAATTAACAACACTAAGTTTTACAGTGAATCTCTTATTTCTGAAGTGAAATATATTTTTCACAGTGAAAAATATTAAATACAAAACTGGACACGTGTGGTATAGTATTCTTTATTAGAGTTAATTTGCTGTACATGTCCAAGTTCATTAGGAAAAGTCAAAACTCGTGCAATTAAAAAGCGCTATACATTTAAAAATTTGTTTCGATTGTATCAAAGATATTGTTTCTTGCCATCTGGAATTTATAATTGAATTATGTCTCAGAAAAATTTAATAACAGTTTCAAATAAGTGAGAATGTTGGAAATATTCTTGTATTTCAAATTTGATTCATTAAATCAAACGACGGTCATTTTCCATCGACATTGTTCCCATTTCTTTACGATTGTTAAAATAGGGACTAGTAATTTGTTACTTTGATATATCTTCTCAAATGAATTATTCCGATTTCTCTTGGAAAATTACTTTCCTCTGCGCATTTTATCTTGTATTATTTTTTTACATGTGTTGTATTACTTAATTTCACATGTAAAATTTGAGCTTCGATCTGATATCACGAATACTTGACAAAGGAATTGAAATTCTGCACATATTCTGCGCTTGTTCTGCAGCTTATGCATTCTACAATACTTGCATTAGACTTCAAGTTAATTTATGTTCTTTAACATTTTAAATTTGCGATTGATCTTCGCCAAATTATTTATCAAACGTGTTCTTTTAAATTAACGAAGGACAACCATTTCAATCTTTCATCAGTTAATGAATCAGATCGTCGGTTTATTTGCGAATATTCGCAGACTATGTACAAATGGAGAGTAGTTATACAATGTTGTGGTTCACGAATATTTGTTTTCAATCAGTTACCTCTGGTTAGCTCGTCGAGCACAGAGTCGAATGTTTGCTCTTTCCTCAACTCTCTTCAACCGTTTTTTATTTCTTTTTTCTGTTTTAAGAGTACATCGGCTGTGGTTTAAATCCTACGATTCCACTTTCACGTAGTTCTTTCTGTAACTGATAAACAAGTTAGAGAAAATTTTCTAACATTTAATTTCTTAAAATAAAAGTTGTAAAATTTATAAGACTGTTCTAGCTTTGGTAGGGATCATGATTTTTGGTGTTTTCACTGTGCTTTGAGAGTGTGGTATTTTAAGTTTGAAGGGAAATTTGCTAGGTTAGGTTAATTCTTTTTTTTTTTCAAATTGGAAAATTCATTGAAATTAGTTGTCATTTTAGGAATAAAATGATTTCAATTTTTGCAATCACTCTGTATGGTGTTGAAGAAAATTAAATATCAGCATTTTTTTACGCGGAGCATTTACTTTGAAACAGAGAGGTGTAGAAAATATTTTGACCTCCGTGCATCGATTTGTCGGATTTCCTCTGACGAGTTTTCCATTAGGATCACCTCTTTGCAGAACATGCAGTGGGTTGGCGAATCGTATTGCTTTTTTACCAACTTTTCCGTCACTTATTGAAAGGTTCTTGCTTCTGATATAAAGTTTGAGAATGTATGTACTACCTGGAAATGATGTTTGATAAAATAGTGTCGTATATAAGAAATTATATTTTGTGTCTTAAGTTTTTTAAATAAAAAGAAAACATACAAATTCTGAATTTGAAATTTTAGGTTAATTAAATTTGACCCAAACAGCGATGTCGGTGGAACTTAATTTGTATTATATTTCCCGCGTTGTAAGGGATCCCTACTGTATATTACATAATTATATATAGAGTGTATCATTTGACTGAACCACCTTGAATAACTTCAAAATTATGTTGAAAAAATATTCTATTCATAACGTTTCACGAATAATGTGAATATGTGTATAAAAATGATAAATGATTAAGTTTATGTATGGTAACATTTCATTGCAATAAGAATTAAATGACTCACGAATGTATCTATGAGAGGAAAATCATTGGGTAATGTATCTAAATAAGGGCACTCGAATTACTTCATATTAAGATAAACTTATCGACGATAAACTTATCATTTCGAGCTGTTTCGACTAAATCAGTCGTTTTTCATATCTTCACATACGTGTTTCGGTATTTCAGTATTTATTACATTCTAAATTTATTTATATCCACGAGAAGTTAAATTACCTTCAATCTTAAGGATAACAGTTGTGTAAAGTAACAGAAACGAAGTTAATGTTATTTCTTAATGTTAGTAAGTTAATGTACTTTCATTGGATAAATAATTCATATTTTTGCACAAATGCAAGTGTCAGAATTTTGATAACGATAAGGATCAAATTAAAAATCAGAAACCTTCGGACCAAATAATTTATAACACTCTTAATACTCGATTCAACGACGCGCTAATAACTTAAATTTAAGTAAATATACATATTTCGTTAAAAAAAAAACTGTGCAAAAATTTTCTTTCAGGATTGATATTTTTAAAAATTCTGCATTTGGTATAACAGCTGATATAAATAAGTTGATTCGTATATTCTAACACAAAGGAAGAAAACTCTAATTGTGTAATTAATTGTAGAAAAATTATAAATTAGGTAAATGAAATTAAGTAACTGAAAGTAATTAAGTAAGTGAAATTAAGTAAATTGAATTAAATTATAATTTAACATTATCGTAACTAACATTGGTAATACTAGGATCAATTTATACTTTCCTGTTACTAAAACAGTTTAAACCTATGTAGTTTTATTCAAGAAGCGTTGCTTCAGATACTGACGTTCCCTCGACAGTATTACATTACACTAATATATGAACGTTGACTGACGTCATGTTAGACGCGAGAAATGCATATTAACCTATTACGTGTCATGTCATGTGTATATGAATGATAGCTACGTGTGCAATAAAAATTATAACAATTAGAATCCATGTTAACTGCGCTTTAAAAGAAATTTCAACTCAATCATCTTCATGCATGGAGGTTTAATATCTTTATTTTCGTCGATGACGCTGTTACCTTCGTAACGAATCTCCACGTGTTACTGTCGACAAAGAAATAGAACGATTAGATGAAGAAAACGTGTAGATAAGTCTAGACGTAGTCTAGTGTAATGATTTGGGCACGTATCGGAACGGGATACTCGAAAATTAGAGAAAACATTCGAAACTCAACAATTGAGAATTTCTACGAGTTATAGTATCGTGATTATCCTTAATATGTATTGTCTGTGCATTGTTAGACGTTAGAAATATCACGAGAGAAACAGAAGGATGTAAGGCTTTATTAAAAAATTTCTAGACGTTACATGTTTTGAGATATTTAGATGAAATTTTTACAGTACCTAAACATTTTCCATATCTAACGATATTAATTGGAAATAGGATGAAAAGGGTTAAGCAAGCAAGTAAGTGTTTTAAGACACTTCTTTCTTGTTTGTTTTGATATACGAGAAGGTACAGGCTAATAAACGGTTTTGTTTTCACGCTTGCGCACATTAACCACAGTCTTAAGACAGTTTACGAAAATTTGCGCCATCTATAATGGTTATTGGTAACCAAAAAATATTTTAATCGTTTACATTGGATATTCATAACCAAAAATATTCAAGACGAAAAAATAGCTGTTATTCTATAACTTTTTCGTATTAAGGTTATAGTAGTTATCATCTTTCAAGAAAACATTTTTGTTGTTCGTAACAGTGAATATTAGGCGGGAAAACCTTGTAATTTTCACCATTCGACAGTTCCGAATGTAGATGATAAAATCGTTCAAATCATCTACTTTGGTTGCAGCAATGAAAAAGATGCTAACGCCGAGTCAGTCGGGGTCTGAGGATCCGATCACTCCCGAGGAAATCGGCAATGGATCTGTCACAGAGAATCCCAGAGCAACAGGAAGTGATTCGAGCTCGTATGCGCATGGCACGCGAACTGTTGGCACGTTCGAGGTAGAATTCTTCTCTACCGGGAGAACCGGAAGGAGGAATGCTGTGGCGGACCTTTTTGGTCGTCACGCAGAAACCGAAATAATAGATTTGCCGGATCGTTTCGAAGAACTTTCCGTGGAGACAGGTTAGCAATGTGAGCAGTAAACTGTTTTAATCGTTATCTCTGAGTACGTTATGAACGAAAAGTTAAAATGTTGATTTTAAAAACTGTTTTTGTAACTCTTTCTATTTAAAATTATTATTTCTGTTGCGAGTAAAGTATGATACATTTTAAATGAGACGTAGATAATAAAGTAAATCAAATGTTGTATATTTTTCACTTGTCTGTGGACTTTTGAGTGAAAGCAGGTATTTTTAAAGTGTAAAATTGATTAATTTTTATGGTAACTTGTTAATAGTTCTCTGTGTTAAAGTACTGTCTAAAAAATTTATATTTGTACTTAGATATAATACACACGCATATGATACTTTCCACTATATCACTTAAATCGTTCTTTCAATAGAAAACTGTATCTTGTTCATGTCTTTAGAATAATTCCATAAGATATTCTAAGATAAGTGTTACATTACGTTTTCAATATTTTTTGTACGAAACTTGGGTATGAAAAAATGCAATTAAAATTTGTTCAGTGCTACGAAATGATAAAATTCGAAGTTTTTATTACAACTTGATGTAACGTTGCACTCGCGATTATTCTCAGTGCAGCATCCATAATATACAAATTATGCATATTGGAAATAGTACATTCGTTGAAACTTCCATAACAGAGGGAAAACTAATAATATATTTATGCGACCCAATTGCAGATCAATCGAAGAATGACAGGCAAGATCCAAACTCGCCGGGTACCTCGAAACAGCAGGGTTGACGTAACCCTGGATTTCTTTTTGTGAATACCTTGATCACAACATCGACGGCGTGTACCATCGATGGAAACTGCACTGAAAACAGCAAAAAATATTGTTTGAAGTACTATGGGAAGGGAGTTGCTGAAACATCAAGTTATCATACGGCGTCCAACTTTTGCGCACGATTGATCGTGCACATGCGCCCGCGCATGCGTAGTACGGTCACTCTCTAAAGTCCGATACTACTCACGTGTATCACTGAAACATCCTTTAACGCGAGTATTGTATAAGCTATTGAAGATGAGTAGACAGCTTGCAGTTGGTAACGAGGTTTAGAGAAGTATCACGAATAACGTGTGGTATCAGATTATTAAGTATTGTCGAGAGAGTAATGTCGAAGACAATTTAGTGACTTTTGCAGAACATTGTTTACAAATGCATACACAGTTCAATGCCCGCAGGTTCTATTTTCACATTGTAGGAAATACTTGGAGTTTCACTTGACAGATCTTGCGCGATAACATCGTGGATTCTCTGCATGAGTATTGCAACGCGTGTTGCGAACGTTGAGGCGTTCTGCGAATATAGTTAACAAGGACAAGTACGATTCTAAGTATGCAGTGTACACGTTGCGTCTAGAGCTTAGTACCGAAGGATTAAGTTCTCGGCTCGGACAAGAATTATAATTCATCTCTGCTCTGAACTTCATCGCTTGTCGTGTTTTTGTTCCTATTACGTGTCACGAATGTAAATTTGTTGATATAGAAAACTATTAAATCGAATCACCGAAATGCATAATTAAAGAGAAGGTTGAGAATTATTTTGACGTCTGCTTTCGAATTAATTTATATAGAATTAGAACTGCGTTGAAGCAACATTTGTACACATAAATATAATATATTTAGAAGTTTAACATTTTTCATGCGATATGAAATTTTATATATTCTTTACACAATCATTGGCCTATTGATAAACATCTGTGTAAAAATATATACATTTGTACTGCTGTAGAATTATGTTATATATCGACAAACTTCGATGGAAAATTTTTCGCTTATTTTTTCGTAAATTTACAAACTCACATACCTCATTAAACGCTTAGAGATGCGTGGCTCTTTTGTTTTTAATGCTTAAGAATTTAGACATCGCAATGAAATTTTTGCGTTTTAATCAACTTCCTAAACGTTCTTCGACTATATTCACGAAATGCAGAATGGTACAAAGAGAATTAGTTGCTTAAAATTAAACAATTTTCCTATAAGAACTTTTACTGTGAAATAAGATTATGTAGATTTACGTGGATACTGGGTGTCCTGTTTTGATTAATCTAAAAACAATATTAAAATTATTAATGGCATTTTAAAAAAAATTGATGAACAAAAACAAACGTTTTTCTAATTAGCAATGTTTCAAAAATGTGAAAGTTATTCATTTGCTGGTAGTATATTTTGTATAATATTATAATTTAAAAGAAGAACAAAAACATTAGCTTATGGCATGTCATCATATTCATTTCTCAAACTATTGAAAATGCAAAATGCAAAAAGTTGTACATTTTGAAGACTAAGACATGTTGAACTTGTATTCTTTACAAGATTATTGTGTTCAGAGATTTTAATATTAACATCACTTTTTCAAATGAGTCATATTTTTATTATATCTACTGTATGTTTTAATATTCTTTTAACATGGTAAATAAAGCATATTTGTAATCAGCTATTTAAGAAATGTTTTCGTGAATAATAATAAATATTAAAGAGGAACATGATTTTCAACTCGTGCCATGAATACAATATAAAGTTGTATTTATATTTACAGTGTGAATGTGACAAAAGTAAATAATGCTATACGCATTAAAGTTAAAATTAAAATGTTTGCAAATAATGTTATGAAAAATTCAGGTCCATCATATTTTCTTGTTCAAGCTAAACAACTTGATAAAAAATTACATTTCTGTACTATCAGTAATTTGTAAAATGAAATTTATGTGTTTCAAATATTCCATACCACCTAAAATTATACAAGAGCCTTGTAAATTACACAAAAAGCTAAAAATGCACTTTTCTCCCCAGTTAAATAATTACTTGCAAAAGCATAATGATCTAAACCTTTTAACTTTTATGTAAATTATCTTTTAGTTACAATTACAAATTTCAAAGATGCTTACGTAAATAAAAAGCGACGAAATACTCCGCACACATGCATTAATACATTTTCCAAATATTATTTCGAAAAAGAAGATTTTAGGACAAAGCGAAATTTTAGAATATAGTTACTCTTCATCGTTAAATCATTCTTAATTTTTATATATTCTATTTAAACAAAATCGGAATATTTTCTAGTTAGGCTGTTTTATAATCTTGTAATTTACAATTGCGAGAGCATTTTAAAAATTCTAGGAATTAATACAGGGCACGTACTTAGGTAAGTCTCTTAAATGTAAACGTTTTATATGATTATATTAACACATTATGGTTCGTCATTTTCTCCTGATGAAAATTTTAAATTTTTGACTTGACACTTTTATAAAATGTTCACAATGGAAATATTTTCGTAATATTAACATTGGAAATATCTTCCGAATTACTTAAATTCGATAAATTTAATAAAGGAAAACTCGTACGAACTTTTTTGGTTATCTGATAGAATCTGAAGGAGCATCACTGTCACTATTTTTAGTCATTCGGAATATCGGAATATACATAATATAATATACATATATTCCTTTTGGTCCATGTTAAAATCAATATAAAGATATAATTTAATCACAAGCAACTTTCCTCCATGTCTCGAACTGCGTTTATATTTTCTACTTCCAATTATGCTGACAGTAACAACTTTAATTTGGTTATTCTCGTCCAAGCGCTCTTTAGGGGTTTGTTTTCTACTTGAACTATAATTTTTCGAAGTTTTTATTACATTACTTCTGTATTACCTTGAAAATTAGTAATTAAAATACTTGTAGAAAATCGCGAACTGAATTTAATGTGTTTGAACAAAATCTGAACTGAACTAACAAAGAAGAAAATATGCTTCGCTGTATCACGTGATGTATGCGCTATGTATGAAAACAAGGACTTTACCTTCAGTTTAATGAAAAAGATAAATATGTGCACACGGACTATAATGTGTTAAAATACAGTGCAAAGACTCGCATTTCACTTTGAAGCTTGAATTTTGTAAACTTTAACGGCGAATAAGAAATCTTCAACGTAACGTAATTTATTTTTCGATTCGATTTTTATTTTATTGTTAATTCAATTGTTAACATCACGTTCATTTTTAGTCACAATAATTAAATTCGATTTATTTTGATAATTCAATTATTTCTTTTGCTCGATAATGATAAAATTGCGGTTCCAAACAGTGTACAGTGCATTAATTATGTGTAAAAAGAGTGGTTTTTAACTGTATCAGAATGGGCGTTTGTACAAATAAAACTAAGGGAATTATGTCTTAACGATTGAGCTGTAAATACATGTCTTTCGAGGTAGAATGTTTTGCACGTAATAAGAAAGGACTGATGAATGATCTTGTGTAAAAAAAGAAATAATAATTTATTAGCGTTACGCTACATTAACACGTAAGATTTTAGAATTAACGTAACAACTAATATGTATGTATTGAGAGCTAATTGTTTCAGGTGTACTGGACTTTTGCTACAATTTAAATACGAGTAACTCGTATTATTATTAAACGAGAAGGGAAACACAAGTGAACAGTATTGAGCTCCTAAAAACAGTATTTGTGTAAATCGCAATTAGCCTAATGAATAAACTTAATATATAAGAATTAGACAAATAATTTGAATAATTTACATAATTTCAACTCGAAATTTGTGCTTTTTATATTTTCGTGTCATCGTTGGAAGTTAAACTAGATTTTATTTTAACCAATTGAATTTCAATTTTATTTTTATTAATTTAATTTAATTTTGATGAAAATTTCACACGATGTGTAAGTTTCAAGTTTACCGATATTACCAACAGATGGAAAGTTTCGTTTATTCGTAATTTTATGATTCTATTCGAACTGCATTAACGATATCCTCGTTTCGAAATATAGTTGGTGGAACCGATGGCCCTCTCAGGCTGTAATTCACTGCATGAATAATTCGTTTCTACTTGGGGCCAAAAATGGGCATATTTTAACATCCTCCTATTTTAAGTATACCGCAACGGAAGAAGAAATTTCGAGTTAACATCGAACGGTTGGTTCTGAACAAGGCTAGGAATACTTAATCTCCCTGGAACTGCTGTTTTCACGCTCGTATTACGTGTATATGTATATACTTTGACGCCTGACTGATTTTACGACCTCGCTGTATCGCTTCCACTGACTATACATATGTAAGAGTATAGATAATAATACAAGTACAGATAACGGTCTACAATATCGACGAGGCTCTATGTAATGAATAATAAATGTCGATCGATGGAAAATCTTGTCGAATTGCATATACAGCAACGGCCTTTGCGATTAAGTTCATTATTTAAGATCACTATGTTCGACCGTTACACCGGGTAAATAATAAACGCAACGGTATTATTGGTACGGACGCTGCTCTTCAAACTTAACGGGGAGCAGCTGATTTTATTATAAAACGTGTTCGATCGATTCGTTAGATCTTCGCAATTATTGCTTATATCGTCGTTGACTCTGGACTAGATGGAAGAGTTGTAGATGTTTAGTTGTTCAACTCGTTTGGTCGTAGACTTCTCTTAGGCTCGTTTAAACTGTTTTCGACTGTCTGTGTTAGACTCTGATTGAAAGTTGATTTTTTTTTGTTTTTTTTTTTGGGTGGAATGAGCTCGTGATCCGTTCCTAGGAGCTATCTGCCCCCTGACCAGGTGTATTGATACATACTGAGTGGTGTTACCGTTTTAAGGTGATGCGGTCTTGGCCTTCTGGAGTTGTACTAGGGGAAAATTTTGAAAAACCTAGAATGTGTTAGACTGTGATTGAAAAGATTGAATTTGAAATATTTATACTCTTCGGAAAGCCAAGGCAGGGATATCGTTGGTTTAAAGAATTTGGTGGGAGGAAAACTGTAAGAGTTGATATTTCTAAGCCAACCCTTGAAAAATTAGGGAAAGGAAGAAAATTAATGTAAGAATTTACAGAGAGGTATTAACGATCACAGAACTAATTATGTGTCGCTAATTATTGAAGAAATTCATTGGCGAAAAAATCGTTGAAAGAAGAAATATTTGTTAAATGAAAAATATAAAAGGCTTTGGCTATCTGAAGAGGCGAGAAGGCCTAATGGCCTTGATTTTCCATTGCACGGACGAAACACACTATGCCTATGCAAGTAAACACAATTGTAACGATGTATGCTGCTCGTATATACGGGAACAGAACACAAATATACATTCGTATGTGTGAATCGACTACTTATCCCCTTTCTTCCTTCTCTCTTCAATTGATAAACATCGCGATAATAATCGTGAACTTATAAACAAAAACTAGCTCGGTAATTGCTGTGCAAAACGGTCGGCGTAAAAACAAACCTGACTCCTGATAGAGAATAATAATTGTTAAAGTTTAATCATTGTCTCACACAACTCTTCACGCGGCATGAATATTTCATTGAAACATGGCTGGTTACTTATGCCAGGTGTCAAATTTATTTACCGATACCGTGCTCGACGATAATTTTCCATGATTTATTGTCTCTCCTAGTATTTAGTATATACATACCTGGAATACAAAGGACAGATCTTTACGTTAGATAAACGTTTGAAAAAAAGAAAGACACGCAGTCGCAATTTCTGGAAGCAACAATTTAATAAGTTTGCAGGAACATAGCACGATTCATTAGGTGTAAGTCATCGTTTATCGTTTATCCTTCGTATACTTTTTAAGGAGATGGTATGATCCTTGTGTGAAATGTTCAATAGATAAAAATAAGGTAAAATGAAGAAATATATAAACGACATTGGTGAATGTTGAAAGTTAGTAGAAAATATAGGTCAGTTTGTTTCTTGTGAATCTTCTCTGCAAATATAGATAAGAATTTTAATGCAAAATAACGTTTATTCATATCAGAGAGAAATTGGGGTGGACAGAGTGCAATTAGGGAGAGGGAGAAAGAAAAGTAGAAGGCAGAAGGAGAGGGGAGGCGAAAAGGAGTGGGGAGATAAAAGGAAGAAGTGGGGAGGCAAAAGGAAGAGTGGGGAGGCAAAAGGAAGGAGTGGGGAGATAAAAGGAAGAGTGGGGAGGCAAAAGGAAGGAGTGGGGAGATAAAAGGAAGGAGTGGGGAGAAAAGAAAGATAGGGAAGAAGGAAGAAATAGGGATGAGTGGAGAGAGGGGGCATAAATTGAAGACGATAGTAGGGAATTAGGTAATATAATAAGGAAGAAGGATTGTAAGTGATAGAGTAACAAAGGAGTATTACTACTACTACTACGAAAATAAGGTTCTCAGTTAAACAATTACAAATCAATTGCATTATTTCTTTTGATTCGAGTGTAACGAAGTCAATGGATAGTTCTCTTTTCATTATTATCACAGAATGTGATAATATCTATATGTGAATTAATTTTACAAATCAATTTTCTTTATTTATCATTTGATTCGAATGTAAGACAGTCAAAGGGTAGTTCAGGTTTTCAACGTTTCATAATCAGCGTTATTTTCATTCTCGTGATATATTAAGCATGATCCTTCGAACTTGTAGTAATATCGAGATGAACTGTCGATTATTAGCCGAAGACTTCATTAAGAGTTGTATGAAAGAAAGGCGATGCGGCGTAAACAGCATAGTACATATTATGGTACAGAGGATCTATTGGTTTCCAGAGCTACAAAGGGAAGGATATTAAAGTGGGTCGGAATTACGGAACAAGATCCACATACGCACCCCTTTTCACTGGAAGCAAATGCAAGCGGCGTGACAATGGAAAAATTCTGTTTACACAGCCTGTCAGCTTGTCGTTTGTTCACATATAGGGAACACTACTGGCATGAAAGAGAAACCGAAGCGTCCATGCTCTACGTTACGATGAATAAACATCATTAGAGACCGTATGAAACACTGAATGATTTTGATTTGTATTGTTTTTCCTTTTTTTCACTCACTCTTTCTTTCTTTCCTTTGGGTGATCTTTAATTCGTTTCATTTTCTTGGGCAAACTGAAGTGTTAGCGAGTATAGAAAATATCGTGTTATCATTGGAATTGAGGAAAATATGTATGCATATGTGTATTTTGTTTTAAAAAAATGATATGGATAAATATGCAAGAATATTTGGTAGAAAGAAATTGAAGATTATTAATTAGAAATATTTTTGCAAATATTCGAACAGTATATTGCAAATGTATTTAACTATTGCTCAATGGTGATAAAGGAAATTATAAAACATTGATGTACGATATGGATTGTTAATAGTGTTTTGCAATTCGTGACGAAGATAATTAAATTAAACGTAGAACGAATTACTTGGAAGTGAAATATGCGAATATCTGAATTATCTGAGTATGACACGTATCTTCTATCTGAAGATACCGAAAAGAAACATTTTTATTGTTCTTTTTTCTCAGTGGTGTAATTACTTACCACCGTTATCAAAATAATTAATGCCTGTTTCTCATAATAGACAAACGTAACGTTTATATTTATGTTTATCTATCACATATACACAGCAAATATCAAGATAAATTGAATTATGCATCGGTACTTAAATTACTAACTCTGAGGTGACCTTTAACTTGCAAAATTTATAACGAAGTGATAAAAAGTAGAGTATTAAAAGTATTAGGCTACTTTAACGAAACTACGTTAACTAATATGAGTAAATGTTGGAACACTTTCTTCACCATTGTGTAGAATGCACAGCAATAAGTAAGTGCTTTTCTTCTGGAGAAGATAATGATTAATAATATACGTTGTTTCTTAATTTTCTGTGATTTTATTCATTTCTGTCAATAATTAATGACAAAACAATAATTTGCAGCTTATTATCGTATCATATTAATTATCATCATATTTTTGCACAATTTGTTACATAAATTTTTCATTTATCTCCGTGAAATTTAATGTAAAAAATATTTAAAATATTTCACGAAATATATATGTATATTTTAGTATATAACAAAATATAAATTAACATACACCGAATGAAAATGAATTTCAGGAGTAAATTTGAAATTCGTCAAATTCGATACTCAACCTTCAGTGTTTATTGATAATCTAAAAAAGATATTCTTGAACAGCGCATACTGTTCTCCAATGCATTCTTTCTGAACGATGACAAAGTGAAACAATGATTGATGCACCCGTTGCACTGATAAATATCGTTAATGATTTGCACAAACACCAGAGTTGCTCCAATCAAACGAGAAAATTGACGGTACTTCACATTTCCCAGCTATTTTCTCCGAAAACGACTATCAACGACTATCTGCTACAACAAGGGTGTCCCAAAAGTATCAAACCTAACGTTAGCTTATTAATCATAGAAAACGATAATCGCGTCTAAATTATCTTTTAATAAAAATGTAATTTTCCTCTTTTATCAACGATATATCCACACGCACACATAACATGTCAGTCATCGTTCACCCTTATCTCAGATATTAACTCGAAAGAGGAGAGACTGTCAGGTTATAAAGCTCAACGGTAACCAAAATGAAATGTAATTTCGTACGAAACGAAGAATTGCGAGATTAACTGCAAAAATTAAAAAAGCTGGATTTTCTTCTTTTATCGACGATATATCCACGCACTCGTGTTAATAAACATGTCAGTCATCGTCCACCCTTATCTCAGATATTAGCTCGCAAGAGGAGAGACTAATCAGATTGTGAAATTCCATGGAAACCAAAATGAAGTGTATTGTAATTTCGTATGGAAAAAAAAGAATACTGAGACTAATTGCAAAAACTGAGAAAGAAAATTCTTCAGATGAAGAATTCGAAAGTCGAGTAGCTCCGACAAAATGGACGATCATCGAGCGCTATTTGCGGGAAGCGTGTCAAATGTCCGCTGATACATAAAGCTACATGCAGTAGTGCATATCTGTTATTTCTCCGTCATAGTTTATACACGTAGATACTATATAAACAATGCGATATATAGCTCGCGTAGCCGGCTCGAATATCTTCCAGTTCATTTCCTGACGCGCTCTACGACGAAGGAAGTTACGATTTGTCACGTGATTCGCCGCGTTACCATTTTTTCCTTAATTATTTCTTCAATTTTCGATCGCAGTTTTGCTTCGTTGTGTCTAGTGGGTGATTCGAAATTCAAATTGTGCAAGTTTGTATTACACTGTCGCTCGAATTCGTTTCATTCGAGTCGAGTCAAATTTCAGTTTCGTTTGTCGAACGAGTTATTAACTCCACTTTTTGCAATTTTTCCAATTTTGGTACCAATGTACATGATCGGTGCTTGATTTTTCATAAATAACATAAATTTGATAAATTTTGTGTGACGGAATTGATCACTTTGGCTTCTAATTTGCTAAAATTCAAAGTTTTACTGCATTTTATTGGGTGCAATTAAATTTTTGGGCGGTAGCGTACATGAAATGGATATTAGGACGTTTTACTTCGAACGATAGTTTATTTTTATAGTTCTTATAGTTAAATATTTTTTTGATTTATTAAATGTTGTTTATTATTGATTCATTTTTACCTTTAATTGCACTTTGGCTGATTCTTGCATTTATAACTATTTCAATGTTTGTAAGTTACAGTTTTTGTTAGCGAAGGATATAATATGAAACTGTTTGCAACAGGGTTTATAACGAGCATTTACCAATTTTGAACGTTGAAAATATTTTTACTGCGAAGTGATGTATATATATTTTGTCGATGTCTTCTTTTGACGAAATGGTGTGAACAAAATGTCGGATCACGATAGTGTAGGAAAAACATTTGGAGGTATGCGACCATTGAATTTGCCAGCAATGAAGTATCAAAACACTTTGTTGATCAATGTTAGGTATGTTGAAAATAAATTTCATATTTCTAATAAATTTACGTGCACCTTACACTCATTTTTTGCAGTATTCTTTAATTATATGCACTAAATAATAGTTACAGACATGTATAGATAGTATAGAAACGAATTTTGTGGGCTAGTGGCTTGTAAAACAAATTTTTTCGTATATTATCAAAGATTTCTCTTTGAAATTTTCTTCTTCAATTTTTTATTATTTTACCTGTTCAACTTTTTCTGGATTTTCAATGAAAAATACACTTTTAATAGTAGTGATTTCTTCTTATTCTCCAGTCTTTTCTTTGCCTTTGAAATATTTGTGAAGGAAGTTACTAAAGGTGATTCGAAAATTAATCGAATATCTGAATTTTAACGAGATATAATTCTGCGAGTTCCAAGGAATTAAGAAAGCACAATTATTTGCATAAAGGGACAAATTAGAAGATGTAAACTTGAAATAATCGTAATATCTAAAGAACTGCATTAGATGCAAAAATTCTTTTACTTTAATCTAACAGTGTATAAACAAAATACTTCACTGTGTTGACACGATGTGAGTGCAACTGTGTTCTGAGTAGAATACTATTGACAGAATCTGGATCGATATAGTACTTGCGATGATTGATGTGCCAAGAAGTTGCTCATCTGCTATTTGAAATTCAGAATCACCAAATTGCTTTACGTGGTCAGTATAATATCCCGGTGCTTGTTCTGTTTGATAAGATCCAAATTTGTATGCACAGAGATCATTAGCAGTTAGTTGAAGAATGCGTTGAAATTGTGATCGACGAGAATTCAAGCTTTATTCAAATTTTAGTTTGTAAACTCAACTCACAGATGTTTGTTATCGGTTGAATATTTGAGTATCTAAATTTATTATTTTTATTTAAAGCTGATAATTTTTTACTTAACTCTTTCTTACATAATTTCTGGTAAATAATTGTGCTGTTCTAATTTCTTGAAACTCGTAGAATTGTCTCGTTAAAACTTTAGGTGTCAGAAAAATTATAAATTGTACCATTTTTCATCAGCTTTCTTTTTTGATCACAAATAATTTTATTTTTTTTCTGTCAGATATTAATAAATACATTTGCACTTTACTTTGCTTATGTGCTGTAGTAAAAGAGTTTAGGCATTTGTGCATAATAGTATACAACATTATTTAAGGAACTGTATCTACCTAAATTTAAGTTTACCAAATTTTGTATGTAAATTTATTCTTATTTCCAAGATAATTCAATTTTTATTTCCTTCTCCCTCCAAAAAGTACACTTCATAATGTTATCGTGTAACAAAAATGTCTCGTTGTAACTTAAATCGCAGCAAAGATTCAATTAAAAAATTACCCGAAATTCAAAAAATCTTTGTCAACAACTTCGCCTCTTTTCATTTCGAATTCACCGTATAATCGTCAAATCGACGAATTCGAAGGTACATCCACTTCGATGTGAAAGAAATTCAATACAACGCGAACGGAAGTTTTTCTATCGCATTATCAGTGAAAAGTGACTACAAATCGTTTCTCTCTCACGGATTTCTACAGTTACTACCCGCAGTTCGCTCGATCGAACCAGACTTTCCAATGGTTGTTCAAGCGGACGTTTATTGAGTTTCCTATAGCTGTCTATAAAACACCCTCCACCCTTTTTCCCTTGACGCATGATAAAACTCTGAAATAACGAGTTTATCTTCAATTCGCCATGCAATCCTGCGGCGTGTACACCGTCGATCGCGACGCGCCACGTAGAAGGTTCATGGATCATCCACAGCGATCTATCATGCTCCGATTAATTCATCCGCTTCTTTAATTTCACCTGTGTGCTTTCTGTGTGCTCGTTCATTACCGCCGTCGAGTATTTATAGCGTTCGATCGTTTGTGAGTGGAAGTGAAATTTCGAGCATCTTCGCGAGCTAGTGTTGTTCATCGTGATTGGTACAACACAGAGGGTGAATTATTCCAAAATTAACACCATAAGTAAGTTCTTTGGTAAACGATTTTATAAGAGAATTTTTTAAGAGAAAATGTGAAATCACGTTTTCACCAATTAGGTACTTTTGTATTGTTTAGAAAATGTGACGTTTGAAGAAGTGTTTGCAAATTTTGCGACAATGTTGGAATTTAATGTGAAAAGAAAATAAGATTGTACGATCTATAAAGAGTAATCTAAACTCTGAATGAATATACTAATGTAAACAGATGTTCTGTGATAACATCGATCGCTAAATGTAATACTGTGTGTTTGGATGGCGTACTATTAATGACCATTTTTCAAATATTTATAAAAGCTTAATTCCAACTGTTCGCAAGAATACGCTTTCTTTGAGAAATAGTTTAAATGTGATGGAAAATATTCTATCGAAGATAATGTAATTTTCCCAAATCCTATTTTACGGGATTAAGCAGAACGAAATTTTGGGAAGGTTTAATTTGGAATTAACTCATCCTGTGTGTTATACGATCGTTTTATATGTTTATCTTTATTTAGGTTGTATTACAAGTAATCGATGAACTTTTTAGATCGTCCAAGAGCACCTCGCAGTTTGGTAAATTGGACAATCTGAAGTCGGACATAGAGGCTGCAGAAAGTAAGTTTCGAGAACAAGTCTCAAAAATGCAGCACAGACAGAAATATTCATAATATTTTAAACAATTCTGTGAAAACATGTTTAATTTAATTTCAAATCTACAAAATTGTTATTATTTTAAAAACTTAATATCTTGAATACTATATTACGTACTATGAATATTGAAAATATTAATTTTTTCCAAGTGTCCCTTCAAAGTCGCCGATTTTTATAAAATTTTGGTGTACGATAGTGCTCAAAATAATATTCGATACGTATTTTTTTATACTGGCAATCGTTCAGATTGAATGTGCGAAAATTGACACTTTTTCAGATGAAAGTAACTCGCTTTCAGAGTTACTTTTTGCAGAGATCAAAAAATGAACGATTTTTCTAGAGGTGCCACTCTTCGTCAATTCTTCTAAAATTGAATTCGAATCGAACGAGTATTAAATTGTACGTTTGAATTGAATTTGTAGTGTCGGAACCGGTAGTCTCTCCTGCTAATGCTTTCAATCCGAAAACCGACAGTTTGCACTCATCTATGAGACCGATCATTATGCTAGCACAATGCTTCTCAATGTTTCCTGTGTCAGGTGTTAATACTCCAGACGCCTCACATCTCAGGTAACTTATTTTACGTCGATAAAATAAATTGAAGAGATTTCTCCCACCTCGTGAGAAATTTTCTACTAATTTTGTTCAGAAATTCAAAGTAATGAGGTGAAAATTGAATGTGATAGAAAATATTCGTGAAACATTGAAAAAGGAAAATTCTGAAAATTCTACTCATATGCAAGATTCATTTTTATTCAAATACTGAAAATTCAATTCATATAAAAGGATTCATTTTGTCAAATTTAATAAAGTACTTGATAATTTACATATTGTAATTTTGAAAATTTTGTAATATTTATCTACTGAAACGAATATTTTTAAAAATTACTTTTTTTAAAGTGTATCGCTGATTGGTTCAATTATAATTAATCAATCAATGTTGAAAGTCGTGTTAACAGATCCACGAGTAGTTTGGTACCTTATTCCAATATTGAAATGATTTCCATTTAAATAAAGTAAATATTTGTAGAACTGATAAAATACTCGAAAAATTCCAGGTTTGTTGATTTTAACTGATATTTATTCAATTTCGGATGTTTAGGTTCACTTGGCGCAGTCCGAAATTTATATATTGTGCAATTTCATTTCTTGGTTCGTCAACGATGACCATTTTTAATATTATGAGGATAATAACGTCTGGGATTAATTCGACGAGAATGAGTAAGGCTACTTTTACAGAAACTTTTGATCAAAAACAATGTTTAACAATTAAAATAAGCAAAATATATTTTACTAAGTGTACTTTGCTTTTAAAATGATTAATTACAAACTAAAATTATTCATATTTTATTATATTTAGACAATATTATTAGTGACTAATTCATTTTATCGTTTATCCATGTAAGCCACATTCGTTTTCAATGGAACGAATTTGATCGCGGCTTTCCTCTTTCTCAAATTGGCCATGCAATGGCCTTGTTTAATGGCAACTTGGGAGAAGCTTGAGAAAGAGCTTTCAAACAGGCATAAAAAGGTCTCGAGAACAACTTTAGCAGCTAAATTCAAAATCGTGACTATGGTGGTGATGATATTTGCCTTAGGTGAGTGATTTCTTCGCTATTGAGTTTAAGAGTTACAAATTTTTCCCCATTTTTCATATTTTCGTTGATCACTCAGAGGACAATTAGTTTTTCAAAATAACCTGATTTACAATTTTGCAAAAATTCCATCAAAGTTAAAACCACAAGAAAATCGCAATTACCTTAAATGGAATTAATTTGCTTAATCAATTTACTCAAATACAGTACTATTTTTATGACACCTACATTCCTTTAACACTCTCTCAATTTTATATCTAATTTTCTTAATAGATAAGTTACAATAAATTTTTGCAGTGGAGCACAGTTTTTCGATACTTCACGGTTACATCAAGGCTAAGGACTGCGCGCAATCGCGCGGAGATCCAGATATCATTGGTGTGTACTTCCAGTCGCAATTTCCTCAGGTGAGAATTATTTTTCACGATCAATTGATTTCCAACAGATCTACATCCTTTTTGTTTCGATTAAAAATGAAAAATAAATTAACAAATGCGTACATTCGATCAGATATTTTCTAGAATCCCGTACAGTTTGTGGAAAGGAATAGTGGTGGATATTATTAACATTCTCAGTACTTTCTCGTGGAACTTTGTCGACATATTTCTCATCCTCATCAGCATTGCTTTGGTGGATCAATTTCGACAACTAAACAGCCGCTTGTATTCTATAAGAGGAAAGGTAAGCGTTCATTTTATAGTTACATTATGTAAAATTTAATTTTATGAATTAATACCTCTTAGAAGAAAGGTATTTAATGTTGAGCAATGTGCATTTTGGAATTTAGAGAAATTTACGAAATCAACAAAGTTTGTTATTTAATATCTGCAGTACAATTGGATGTGTGGATATTTAGATTATTTACGTGATTAATTAAGGAGTTGTGTACTTATATTTCGTTTTGCAAATGATTTCTCAGTTTCTACCGAAAAACTTAAGTGAGCAAATTATCATTTTCCTAAAAACTCGAAATTTTCATGAATAATACATTCATGATTTTTTAAAACTTCACTAAATATCTTAATTTATTTTGTGAAAAATAGACGTTCGATGTCAATTTTGAATCATATTTTGATAATAACAATAATTGTCTTAATACAACATTCATAATTGCAACTAAAGACAATTAATTCAAAATCATAAATACGTAACTTCTTGTTAACATATTTTACTCACACACAGCTACAATCTAAACATTGGAAAATTGGCAAATTTTGTTATTTGCAATGTTTACATTTATCGAACTAACCACCGTAAAATTTCCAATTTTTCTATCATAAAAATGATTTGATAACAAAGAATTAAATTACGATATTTCTCTTTTGTAATGACAATAATTATATCGTGCAGAGTGTATTATTATTTCTAATAACGAATTTGGGTTGTTAGTATCATTTCATTGTTAAGGCAATGCCGGAATGGTGGTGGGCCGAGGCGAGGAGTGATTACAATCACCTGGCTACCTTGACGCGACAACTGGACTCCCACATATCCATTATGGTCCTTCTCTCTTTCGCCACCGATCTCTATTTCATCTGCATACAACTACTTTTCTCTTTCAAGTATACATGGCAAAACGTAATTTTATTTATGCGTGTCGTCTCACTTTTCCACGCTTTCCTGCCGCTGATTCATTCGATACAATTCATGCATGATTGTGTAATACTGAATACTGAAACTTAATTTTGTTATCATAGTTCACTTTTAACCAGCGTGATTTATCTTCGTGAGGTCGTATAAAAGAAAATCGTTTGTGTAATATGAGCTTTTTCTAATTAGTACCATTTTTAATGATTACAGTTTGATTTTCAAGCAAAAGTTTGACACTAATTAGCATTTCTTTCACGATTACGATTTAAGTACCAAATTTGGACAAATCTTTTGTGAACCAAATTTTTAGGGATAAGTTTCTATCGATTTTATACACACTTTTAATAATTACAGTTTGATTCTGAAGCAAAAGTTTGACACTTGACGCTAATTTGCATTTCGTTGCACGATTATAATTTATTTCACTTGCACCATAAGTCTGATATTTTGTTTCATCACGTAATTTATCAGCTTCAACACTTCTCTTCTTCTTTCATTTCACGAAATGTAATCGACGTTCCTAATTCTTGCTCATCGCACAAATACACACAGGCTCAACGTTTTATCTTTCAACAGCCCTATGCGCAGTATCGTTGAGAAAATTTACTTCGGATTCTCCTTTGGATTCTTACTAGCGAGGACGACGGTTGTCTCTTTGTGCGCCGCCTCGATCCACGACGAGTCCTTACTTCCTGCTCCGATCCTCTACAGCGTTTCCGGAAGCAGCTACTCCACGGAAGTAAGATTTCTCGAGTTCCCTGTCGAATAAGATGATAAGGACATTATTGAGAAATTGGCAAAAATGAAAATTTACCACCATAATTTTCTATATATTTTTAAACAAAAAGAAAACAAACGTTTTTATTGCTACGATAGTATTTTCAATATACAATTTCATGGTTTTTATAGGTGATGAGATTCTTGTCGCAAGTAACAACGGATAGCATTTGTTTGACAGGCATGAAATTCTTCTCGGTGACCAGGAGTCTCGTATTAACTGTACGTATTAAAATTTACCACATAAAATTCAAACTACATTAACGTATAAAACTTTCTAAACTACCACTTATTTAAGGAATAAATAAATGATGTGTGCATATAACATTTTCTATTTTTCTAAGCAAACACTAAGAAGAAAGTTAGTATTATTAAATAAAACCAAAAACCCACGAATTTCGTTTATTCAGGGTGTCTATTTTATCTCAATACAGCGAAATATCTTTTAAGGAAGTGATGTTAGGAAAAAATGTTTTAACAAAAGTTGTTTGGTACGGAGGGGGACATTATGTGGTATAAATATGTTTTTGGTACCGGGAATGGTGGGGGAGATTTCAAAGTCAGTTTAATTTTTTTAAATGGAATGCTATATTTTTTTATACATAATACGATAGTGTACGTTAAGACGAGTCCAACGAGGTGCAAACAAAGTCATTTAAAAAACATCTAGAAACCACTCCTTTATACTTTATCTTTCGTATTCCACAACACTGATTTTTTTTCATAGAGAGTGATTTCATTTCTCCACTAATTTCTTTTCCTGACATTTTTTACTCGCACGAGAGTTCTATGAAGAATACGAAACTGCTTCGTGTTTGCAAAGCAACTGTTTATTCGAGTCGTAACTCTCAGAGAGTTGAGCGATGCTCTCAGACAGCGAGAGACACTCTCGAGAGCAGCTCGCGATAGTTTTACTCTGAAAAGGACAGCTAGGTTTATGTTTGGCTCGATGTACGTACAGCGACCCAGGTTCGCGTTTCTTATGTTTGGCTCGCGAGCAATATCACGAGTTCTAAGAAGTTAAGGCCTCGAATATTTCCCAGAACAGTTGCGAGCGTACAGCGATTAGAAATCGGGCAGGACGACTCGTCCTCAGTCGGTGTTTACGAGGCTGTCGAACGAGTGCCTCGACGAACGTCGCTTATACTGCGCGATTCTAGTCTCGTAGGGAATACATTTCGATTATACGCGGATTTCCAATCAATTTACATACTTAGCACATTCGTTCGTGTGAATTAAGTGCCGCAGCATACAAGAAGTTAGTACACCGAATTGAAGTTACACAGCGAACAGCTCAGCTTGGGAGAATTCGCTTATACTGCGCGATTATAGTCTCGTAGGGAATACATCGAACAGCGCGTTTTCGATTATACACGGATTTCCAATCAATTTACGTACTTAGCACATTCGTTCGTGTGAATTAAGTGCCGCTGCATACAAGAAGTTAGTACACCGAATTGAAGTTACACAGCGAACAGCTCAGCTTGGGAGAAAAATGAAACGAGAAGCTACTTCATGAAATTCTACTACAAATTTTTCTCATTTAAATAACACGAACGTTCCCTACATGCACCTAATTCAAATCATCGCCGTAACATTCACTTATCGCTCATTCTGAGCAGCTTTCAAATACTTCACTGAGCAAAAAAGAAAAAAGAAGAAAAAATAGCACAAACAACATCACGAATGAGAATATTTCGTGAAAACGTGTTTCAGGTGGCAGGTACCATAGTCACGTACGAGTTGGTCCTAGTCCAGTTCAACGCGGTGCAACAAAATGGCGCTTCGAATAGCACGGATGTGTGCGAGGTGAAGTAATCGCGTTTTCAAGCATCTTTCAACGCGCTTACAAAAGGATTCCATCTCGACTTCCTCCCTTTTTCGCCTAAACTATTCCGCTTGCTTTTTTAACTTGCACAGTCACTTCCATAGTTTTGGAAGTCGCTTACCGTATAAATAAGTTGCTGTATATACAGTGCTAAATACCCGAGCTACTCTAGTGCCTTAAAGTCCTGTAAAATACACTACTTGACCGAAAAAAGTTGCGACACCTAGAAACTGCACAAATCTCCAAATCACATATGTTTCTCGGGCTGCTCTGAGGAAAAATGATTTTTTTCAACCAAATTTCAGTCATTTCTCGATAACCCGAAACGATATATGCAAATTTCAGATTTGTGCAATTTCAGTTTTCAGGTATTGCAATTTTTGTTTTTCACGAGCAGTGTTGCTCTTTGTTCTACCTTTGTTTAAAATCCTTTTGTTGTTCCAATATTCTTCTTTTTACACGGGACACCCAGTAGTGATCGATTAATACTTAAGGTGCACGCGTTCGATTAACGGTAACTTGTCATAGAAAAAGGCAGTGAACCTATTTTTTGGCAATTTTTACTAAAAGTTAAGCAAACATTGTTGTAAAACGAACTTTACTTCCTCTAAAATCGATTCCTCGTATTTCTCGGTGTTCTCTTATTACACGATTACTTATGTAAGTTCACTTCACCGATAGAACGTGTGAAAGTGATAGAAGAGTACTTATTACTTGCAATAAGTAGGATTTTTGTCTGTAGGCAGCGCTTATCGTGTAGTTTACGTAGCTCCGAGTGCCTTATTAGAGAAGACTCTAGCAATTAGACGGCGTAAGATAGTAATTAAAGAGAAATATGAATCTTTTAATTTGTAGAAGGTAGAAAATAATTTGGAAATATGAAAATTCTACTTAAGATTGAAATACACTGTACAAGCAGAGTGTACCTTTTATTTTGGTCCAAAGTTTCATTTCAAATGTAACCTTGCAGATTCAAACATTGTAAACGAGTCAAAATTTCTTCGTTAATAAAGAATTTTACGAACTATTGTAATATGTAATTTTTTCGAAGTATAATTGCAGCGATGTTCGGTGATAAAAATTGAAACGGATCCTCTGGGCACGAAAAGATGACGCGTGATTGCTAAAATTAGGTACGTGTTCAAATTACCATTAGTATTGAGGAAACTGGAAACTTGCTTAAACAAGATAACAAAATTATGCATTAAAAAACAAAGCTACATATACGGATCACATAAGAAAATTGTTACAATTATTAAGGGAGAAGAAAATATTTAATAACTGTAACAAATTGAGTTAGCTCTGACAATGAGTTAAATTAGTAACTTGTTACAAGTTTAGACAAGTGTGCACGTAACGAATTATGCAAAAATTCACTTTCTTTTTGTATTTTCGCGACGTTGAGTTATTCGAAAACGTAAAATAGGAAAGTAGCTGTTGTAATGGATAATGTGGAATGTGCGAGAGAAATTGAAGATTTAATAGCTAACTTTTAGTCGTGCAAAATGAAAAGCTTGATCTTTGAAATTTCACTTTTCTGTTTTACGTTGACAACTTATTTATTAGTAACGCTTTTGATGTTTAACGATTCCGGTTGATTTTGTAAATATTGTAGAATATACACAACTTTCGTTCAGTGTAAATAGTTCTGTGGATTGTGCATTTGTATGTCACGAGATAATTCATAAATCGGTCAATTTCTATATTTATGCTTTCATTTAATCTGTACGTTGTATTCGAAGAAAAATTATCGCGGAATTTATTGAAAAGATGTGACAATTTCGATATTTTTCTTAAATTTTTTAATGCCAACTAATTTTCTCAATTCTGCTAAGAAAATTTATTAATACAGCTTTGGAATATGTATTTCGGTTAATTTAGAAATACGATTTAACGTAAACTGAACTTTTCTAAAATCATGTAAGTACAAGTTGCTGCCTATGATCACTGTAATGTATGTATTTGCTTTCACGATGTTTATCACCTTGTAATTCTTCCACCGTTAGAAATATGTCGAATATTTTTGTTTTGCCAAAGAAATAATTTACTTTCGCCTTTCGAACGAAAATAGGAAATACAGGTGAACTATGTAATATAGCCATACTAAACTAATTCTACATACAATAACAGTATTTGGGTATGTCGAAAGTTGATATTGAATTAAACGTGACAAATTTCATTTGAATACGCACAACTGGAGTGAAATATTTCTACGAACAGTAATAAACGACAAGATGTGAATTTTAATGAAATATATTAAGTGTGAATATATTCTTAATGAAAGTGGAATAATTTATAATTGATTAAAATTTCATTCAATCTGATTTTATTGCAATATTTGTATGAAACTAATAGAGAGTTATTTGCACCGATCAAATAAATTAGAAAATATTAGATAGAAAGTATTTTCGAGTTATTTCAATTATTTCTTTTAACATTCTTTCCCCAAAATTCGAAAAAATAACAACAGAACAACTTACGTTATGCGTATCAAGTGATTAGAGATAGTGAAATTTGGGTCATTTTTGTTTCGCTGCTTTTAGCATGTCCAAAATATTATTCATATCCAATGTTGCATTCGTTTCGTATTCACTGTATAAAATTTCATTACAATAAAGAAATTTATTAATATTGATAGAAATTTTACTCTACGCAAAATGGCCGAAATTATAAAGACACTTCTTCAAGATTTATGTTAATGTAAGATAGTATGTGTATATGTTAGTTTGCGATACATTATAATTGGTACAATTTTTCGCTATTTTGCCAATTTTGCTTATTAATCTGTTGACTGAATCGTACTGAAACCTACGAACTGCCTAAAGACCAATTTAATTCGTCTTATCAAATCCAATTGAAATCTAATTAACAAAATTGGTAAATAAAAAGACTCTCACGCTTTTACCATTTGTTATTCAAACAGTAACATAATTTATTTAAAATACAATTACAAACAAATAGACTGTCACGTTTCGATGATTTATCGTTCAAATAATACCATAATTGATCTACACAAGTTGACAAATTAATACGTGATGCTAAGCACGAATAAATTGAGTTTCTATTTCGATTGAAGTTTACCTGTTGATTTCTCTCTTTGTTATAGTCCTTCACGCTGAATACCTCACGATAATTTTGGCCACGACTTCCTCGCGAAGAAGCTCTGCAATCTGTTCGTTTTATCTCGTGAAAGTATATGTCGGTCGAAATGTTATTTAACGATTCTCGTAATTTCTTAAGAATGGTACAAGAAAGATGAAATAAAATGGGAAACGTATCAGCAAAGGAGTAACCATTTCTTGTTTTACATTTCTTCAGCTACTGTAGGTTTACATTTTAGAATGAAAGAAAATTTGTAACTGCTTTACTTTTATGTGAAATATGTTCGCTGTTTGCTGTTAAAATGTGCACACATTGTCGTTTGTGAGAAGGTTAATAGTAGTAATCGAAGAAACAGGAATATATAGAGATAATACAGTGACAGAAAAAGAAGAATTGTTGCTGAAAGTAGTATCTGTGAAATATATAATGTAGAAATTTAATTTGAACATACCGAAAGTGTGCATGAATGAAACTGCTTTCAAAATCGTGTAATTTCTTCATTTATTGCAAAAAGAAAAGTAAATTAGATAATTTCTAAAAAAAAAATGTACTCGTTGAAGGATTTTCTTATTTTTAATTTTATTTACCGTTACATGAGTGTGTAGTAACAAAAATAACTATAATAATAGTGTGTACAAATTTTAACGAATGATTTTATTTAACTAAATCCTTGTATTGATAAAACGAAGTTTTGCCACAGTTAGGTACTTTTATTGGTGGTATTTATTACTGATTTCACCGTCGTTCTAGGTAAAAATTAATTAGTTCGTTAAATTAGCGATGATACTTTGTAATCTATGCATGTGTGGTGTTCGAAATGAAAAAATAAACGAATAGTAAATAACGACGATAATTGAATTTTTTATTAATAAAGTTCGTCTCAAGGCTACTGAAAATGTAAATTATAGTAAATCTAATTTATTATCAATTACGTGTTCCAATTATAATTCTAATATGTTACAATTATGTATTAGTAAACGTTGGAAATATTAAAAAGGATGAGGTATGTTAGTAAACAAATGATTGAAATACAATAAATTTCAAGGTACTTTTATGCAAACTTTGTAAATATTGTTTAGTATTAATTTGTAGCAGTTCGACACACTAAGGATAAAATCGTGATTCAAATATGTATAAATTAAAATGGAGGGAAAATTCGAAAATGAGCAAGAATATATTAAATGCAATATATATTAAATGCAATCAATTTCTACAAACGAATTCTTTCCTGTCTATCAGAGGAAAGCAAGTGCATATTTTGCGTATACAAATACGTAACAAGAATTTTCTCACGGACGTAATATGGCAATAATTACATTCATTGTAACAATAATGTTATCAAAAGTACAGTTACAAACAGATACTACTAATACGATAAACAACATTTCAATTTATTTACTACCACTAAATTGTAAAAATACAACTTCGTACGTCATGATCGCTCCAGCCACCTGTAGATAAATTTATTTTCAATTAAACGTATTATAGTGAAGATTAAACTATTTTATATTTATGTAAGCCGTTTATTTTCCATTTAGAAAAAGAACGAAGTTAACAATAACATAATCTTTTTGTCAGTAAACAATCTATAGTTAAAGCAAACAGCAATAAACGGCTCATATGCCAATAAAGAAGTGTCTTTAAGCGATCGGTATATTTAATCTCCGCTTTGTTAATTGTAAGTGTACGTGTTTTTAGTGAAATAGTCATTTAAATATGAATTTACCGCAAGCATAAAATTCCTCGTGATCGAAAAGAAGCGCAGTCCTGTTAAGGCTACATCGTCTGTTGCGAGTTGATACTGCAGCCTCTGAGTCTGTGAAATAGTTTTCTTCTTATTATTGTGTAAACAATAATGATTTTAATGCAGTATGTAGAAAAAGAATTTTATTTTAGAAAAATAAAATTAAGCAAATAAAAATTCCCTGCAAAGAAAATAAGAACGTCTCTTCTTCTCCTCTAGCGGAGGATTTGAACTCAGGACCTCGTGTCCTACAGTCCGAGATTTTTCCATAAGTACCAATGGCATAGTGAGCGTATAAAAAGGCGTTTTCGTTACTACTAGATATACAAATAATAAAGAAAGTAATAATTTTAAGGCATCCTGTACAAATTTTGAAGAATTTTATTTTAGAAAAATAAAATTAAGTAAATGAAAATTTCTCTGTGAAGAAAATCAAAATTTCCCTAACTGGGATTTGAACTTAGGACCTTATGCACCACAGTCCAAGATTTTTGCATAAATACCAACGGCAGTATATCAGATATTTGCTATGATAGTTGTACACATGGTGTATAATAATTTAGTAAATATATAACGAGTTGCTTTAAATATTGTTAAGTAACTTTTATTTCAAAAGTGTGGTTCAAAAAGAGCATAATTACCTCGACGCTGTAACTGGACGCCGAGCAATTGTACAAATAGGGTAAAGCTTCCTTGCTTTGATCGTGTATTCTAGCCGTAAGCAAGGTAACAGCACACGTACGGCCGATAAGAAATGCGAAGGAGCCGAAAAAGTAAACTGCTCTCAACATGCTGTCGTCTGATGTGCTTTCGACATGAAGAGAATAAAATTGATTAGGTATTTAATAGCTGTTATCATTTTCCGTCGTTCATTTTCTTAAGAAAGTGTGTTTAAAAAATTTAGCCCTATTAAGAGCATCAAAATGAAAGCCCTGTTCACGTTAATAAATAAAGAAATGAAGAAATAAAGAAACAAAGAACTGAGGAATAAAGAAATACAGAAATAAATAAAAGAAGAATGAAGAAGTGAAGAATACTGAAACGAAGAATAAAGAAATTAAAAACTGAAGAATAAAGAATAAAGAAACGAAGAAATAAAGAATAAAGAAACGAAGAAATAAAGAATTAAAGCCCCAACTGTATCATGTTAATCTTCAGAAATATACGTACGACAAGCCGTTCATAAGTTGCAAACAAATGAAATACAGATTGTTTGCAAAAGACAGAAGAATAATCGGAGAGAGTTGCTCGTCCACTTTCTTCACGACGCAGCTCAATATCGCATAATCTTCGCGGAGCTCGCGCCAATCGAACGTCGCTCGATACTTCGTTACTGTGATTGCTAATTTCTTGTTCAAAGTTTTGTATCTTTCCGCCAAACCAGTGGCAACCTGAGAATTTGTATTTTATTTAATTGTATTCGAACAATTCGTTTTCAAATTAGTCCAGTTAATAATTTTCGAGCAATAATAGAATTAATAAGTTTAAATGAAATAGTAAATTTCTCAAGTTTAACCTTCCGTCAGGCGCACCCATTTCTGAAACGCCATCGGGCGCACTGGATCTTAGAGATCGGCCTTCAAGAGTAACTAACGAGTGTAAACAAAAAACATCAACATTTTGAGCACATTTGCACATTCATTGCGCAACGCATCGCGTCTATACAGGGTGTCCCGTAACTCCTCGAACACCCGGAAATGGGGGGTTGCTGGGGTGACTCTGAACAACTTTTTCCTTTACCAAAATGTTGTTTGAAGCTTCATTTTTGAATTATTAACGAAAAACACTGACCAATC